ACTCCGGCTGATATTACCATCTGTATAACTTGAATTCAATTATGATATTAACAGCCTATTTGGGTTTTTTTTTCAGACGGGGAGAAAGAAAGTTCCTCGCTCTCTAACAAAGATGTTAAAGAGACCGGGCAAGGAGCCCTCCCAGCCTGCTTCCAAATCTAGAAGGGTACTGGCTGCCCCACCCTCTTCTGGAAGTTCGCCTGTGCCTAAGAGGCCCACCTCAGCAGGCAAGAGCCTGAAAGACCTTGGCCTAAGCACAGGGCCGGTTGAGGTTGAGACGAGGGAGCCTGAAATTCCCTCAAGCCGGCTGCTTGCTGTAGTGAACGGTTCCAATGCGGCTGGGGATGGGATGACCCCTCAGCCTGAAAATGAAGGAATGGCTATCACCTTTGATCCCCCCTGGCCACTTGGGCCTATGCGACTCAAGCCCCAAGCTACCCAATAAGGGGATTCTTCAGGCAGCCGACAGAATGTAGGTGCCGCCTATGCTCAATACTTAACAAATACATCTGTTGATGCAGATGCCTCTTCTCGCTGGCCTGACCTCCAACAATATGCCAAGAGGATGCTGAGGACCCTCACCCGGTTCGGAAAGGAGGCAGTGCAGAGTGTGCACCAGGTCAACATTGACCGCATCAACTCGCTGCTCCCTGAGGTAATTGGCCGGTTAGGGTGCTTTTGTACAAATTTACTCTTTTGCCGGTTGTAGAATAATTGAGAGACTAACCTTTTTCCGGCTGGTTTTGCAGGTGATGTTAAGAGTAGACGACCTCAAGGTTCCTTTGAGGAAGAAGCAAGATGAGGTAAGAGACGCCAATAGGCGGGCGACTGACCTTATTGACGTTACTCAATACAACACTGGTGTGCCTCAGTCGTATGCAACCAAAAATATCACAACTAAGCTAACTGCAAATAAACGTAGTTAGGGAAGTCGAGTTCGAATCCACAGGGAAAAAAGGGACTAATAACTGGAAACCTAAGTGGAAATACTCTAGGACGGTAGTAACCTAAGTAACGAGGGGGGTTTTCACGAGCAATGATGATAAATGAACTAAGTAAGAACAACGAACGTAATGAATAGGTAATCAATGAGAAGAACGGTCTTGGTTATGCGAAATCCACTAATGAACATACAAATTGATCATAGAAGTCTCCTCAATCAAGCTCTATTGAACACCTTGTTGTAGAATTCCTAGATTCTAAATTCTCATAAATAGTTAGAAATAGCAAAGCGCTCCTTCCTAACCCTTTCCAATGCACAATTCAAGACAAGCGCTCTAAATTATCCACAAGAAGAAAATAAACGGAGAAATCAACAAGGATTGAATAAATTAACACAAGCGGTCTAATTTCTTCAATAATATTATTCCCTCTTCAAGTTATCAACCAAAAGCATGCATCAATAACCTAAAGTTGCTACTTTGGAAAGATTAATTAGATGCAAGCGAATCCAATAATTCTAACCTAGCAATTGATTAAAGCAAATCATGAAATTAATTCAAGGAACAATATATATTCAATAGATATTAAGAGAAGAAAGATCTCACAATTCGTAGCTAAAAGCTTCAATCTTTAACCAAGAATCCGGAAGATTAAGCTTCCATGGATTCTAATTCCAAAACAAAGAATTCTGAAATTCCAAGAAAAACCCTAGAAAGCTTTTTTTTCTCAAAACTTAATTCTCCTCTTCTTTCTTCAAACTTAATTAAAACTAAGCTATTTATATGTTTATATATTTTAATAACATAACACAATAATAATAATAAAATAATATCCAAAACACGAGCCAAAACAAAGCCAAATTGCTGAAAATTAACCAAAACAGCCCGAATTTCTGCCAGAGCCGCTGCCAGCTGCTCTAGACCCGCTGGCAGCTGCTCTGGCAGCCCCTCACTCTGGTATACCCGCTGCCAGCGGCTCTGGCCAGCTGCCAGCGGCCCTGGCAGCGGTTCCTGCTGTTTTCGCCTTCTTTCCTTGCTTCTTCTTCTTGCTTTGCTTCACCTTTTCCTCAAGCTTTCTTCCTTGCTCTTCCATGCTCCATCACAACTCTCAAATCACGAGCCAAGGTCCATCCTTCTTACATAACTCTTCATTGGTTCCCGAGCTCACTCACTCACTTATACTCATAAATCCCGCCTTTTGCACATAAGTGAGAACACAGCCCAAAACTCACAAAAGCTAACAAAAGTACATATAAAGCATCAAAACACACCCTAAAATGCTTCTCTCAACCCATGATAAGAAGGCTTATCAAATTCCCCCATGCTTGAACCTTTACTCGCCCTCGAGTAAACTTAGAGAATAAAACACATCCTCCTCACTAAGGTTCAAAACAGAAGATGGTGGAATCAAACTAGCTCTATGCACTCAAACTCAACAAAACATCCTAGTACTTATCAACCAATCACAATCACACTCCCCCATACTTCACACTTTGAATCTCCCTTTTTTCTTATTTATCAATTCATCCCCAAAATCAACTTGGAACGATAAACGCATAGCCATGAGTATGAATATTCTCAACCGCCTGAAGAAATGAAATTTTTGATAAAATTGGGCAAACAAAAACTCAACTTAACCAAAAATCTCATAAAAACACTTCCACATTCAAGAGTGAAAACAAACAACTCATGCTCTCAAATTCCTAAGATGATCAACAAATTCCCCCAAAATCTCAACTATCTCCCAAAATCACCAAGATGAAACCTACCCCGACACCTCCTTATATCTCCTCCCCTTATGACACCGACTCCGGCAAATAGATGCGAAATTTCCTTGAAAAATCAAATTCATGAACATTTCTCTCTTTTTTCTCTCATTTTGCCTAGGAGCCCTTTCGGGTTTTCATCCTAGCCTCTCATCTTTTTCCAAATCTCACTTTCTCACCCACTCATTAGCCACTTTTTTGCTTAGGTCGCCCTTTCGGGTTTTCAACCTAACCGGGCCCCCATTTTTGCCTAAGCCGCCTTTTCAGGTTTTCGACTTAGCGGGTTTCTTTTTCTTTTTTTCTTTCTTTCTTTTTTTTTTTTTTTTTTTTACTTTTTCTGTTTTTTTTTCAAGCTTGCTTCATTGAACCACAATTAAGATAGTTATACAAAACATGAAATCAAGATAACTATACAAAATTCAAAGAATATATGCAAGAATTTCTTCCCCCCCCCCTACTTGAATGAAGCATTGTCCTCGATGCAAGAACAACTACAATGAAACCAAAAGTAAGGGAAAAGGAAGAAAATCGTTACCATCTCAATGAGAGGGACCTCCAGAGCCAGAAGAGCCGGCATCGCCCCGAGAAGCACGCCTCTCGGAACGACGCAAAGCACGGGATGCCAAATGATCCATGAACGCCTCAGTTGGAGGCTCATACTGCGGATACTGAGTGGTGTAAAACCGACTCATGCTTCTTTGATATGCAAGCAGCTCGTGCATCCCATCGCACACCTCCTCTAGTCTATCATCCACATCAGCCCTCCATCGAGGCCAATCATCGTGCTGCACTCCAGTAGCATCCTCACCCCCTTCCTCATCAACAAACTCTCCGCCCATATGAACATCGGGATTCTCCTCTCCCATGTTCTCAACTATGATTTCAGCATCTCCCAAATAAGGAGCAACATCCGGGTCGGGCGGAAGGAAAAAGTCTGCAGCAGTAGGGCCAAAAGGTAATGCTCGTCCCTCGGGACGAGGAAGTCTCAAATAGTTCAAACCCTGCGGTCCGTATCGCCAGAAATAACTACCGGCGACGGGGGAACGCGATAATAAACCGATCTTGACCAGAGTCATGATGTTATATGTCAAGTATGTCGAGTCTACTGGCACAAGATCCTCAGGGGGTGGAACATTCAAATAACAGGCTAGCAAAGAGACCATGCCACCCATACTAATATGGCCACTGGAGTTGGACTTCACCTTTACACAACTATCAACAAAAATCTCCACCCAATTGGGCGTACCGACACCCTCAGGGGTCATCGCCCACAAATACGACAATGTGACTTTGGGGACCTTAGTGGCCTCCCCTTGACATAGAATAGTGGACGATATAAACCTATGCACCAGTCTAAGGCATGGGTGGGTGATTTTGAAGCTATGATCACCGTGAGGATCAACCTCACAACCAGTTATAGCCCTCCAAAATACTCGGGACGAGTATGAGCTATGATCACCCCAACGGTTCACCAATGGGGGTGCATCCCAACCAAATGCCATACGCAAATCATCATAAGACATCACATAATTCCTACTGTTCAAATTAAAGGATATTTGTTCACGTCCTTTAGTAAGCGTTGAAAGGAATTCATATGTATACCTGACATAGGTGGGAGCGCATTTGGTCATGAAATTCTCGAGACCCACGTTCCTTAGCAAGAGCCGCACTCCTTCCTCCATCTCTAGCTCTTGTAGAGCTTCTAAGTCAAAGAACTTGGTGCATTGCACCGTTCGTCGGGGTTGTTGAAGCTTAGTCCATACGCCCTTCTCCTTGGAATGCAACCGAACACCCATGAAACCATCCCCTTGAGGCAATGGAGGTGCCTCCCCTTGACTTGAAGAAGCCCCTTGCTTCTTGCCCCTTGAGGGTCTTGATGGAGATGATTCTTTAGACCTCTTGTTGTCTCTACCCATGGCTATAAAAAGGAATATGTTCACTTGCACCTTCACCTTCACCTTAGGTGAAATTGTGATGGGAATTGAGAATTTGATGAAAGATGAAGATTTGGGAAAGGGAAATTGGTAGGAATTTGGTATAATTGGAGTAGGGGAATGAATGAGTAGAGAGAAGGAGAAGAAAAGGAGTAAGAGTTTATGTGAATTGGGGGATAATGAAGTTGGAGTTGGAAAAGGGGAAATAAGGGGAAAAAAAAAATCGGGGAGAGCTGTAGGAGCCGCTGGTAGCGGCTTGAGGCCCGCTGCCAGCGGCTCTGGCAGATTTTGGTGAATTTTTTTTTTTTTTTTTTTTTTGAAATTAACAAAACGTAGAGGGGGGGCCCGCTGGCAGCGGCTCAGGAGCAGCTACCAGCGGCTGGGACAGAAACAAAGGGGTTTGGGCTGCAAGAAGACCCGCTGGTAGCGGCTGCAGAGCAGCTGCCAGCGGCTTCTGCAGGGAAAGCCCCCCTTGTCTCTGTTTTGCTCTGTTTTTGCTGCGTTTCGCGCATAAAAATTGCTCCCAAGGCCTCCACCTACACAAAAACAATAAAAACACTCTTCACATCACACGAAAAAATAAAAACTAAACTACGAAAAGTAATGGGGAAGAGTTTTCGATCGGGTTGCCTCCCGATTAGCGCCTTTGTTTTACGTCGTTGGCTCGACGCGGCTCATCCCACTTCGCTACTCCATTGATGGCTCGTAGAGATCGATGCACTCCACGTTCTCGGTTTTGAAACCCTCGAAGTAGGGTTTGAGCCTTTGGCCATTGACTTTGAAAATCTTATCGGTCTCGAGGCTTTGAATTTCAACTGCTCCATGCGGATATACATTCACCACTTGAAAAGGGCCCTCCCAACGGGACCGAAGTTTCCCGGAAATAATCTAAGTCGGGATTGATATAGGAGTACTTTGTCACCGACTTTAAACTCCTTCCGCGTGATCATTCGATCATGCCATAGCCATAGCTTGGCCATTAACTTCCTGATCATTCGATCATGCCATAGCTTGTCCTCTTGCTCCTTGGTCAATTTGCTTGAAATTATAACAGGTAAAGTATCGTTCTGACCAAGGAACACATATTTCAAATGATCAGGAAGTGGTTTTAGCTCCACCTGGGGTGCCTGCAAAACAGAAGGTAAGAGTTTATCAGTAGGCACTGTCAATGGGGTAGGTGTCGAACCTGGTGGTCTAAGTGGAAGCTTGGAATGACCATTCAACTCTGCTACCATCATCTGCACACTATTAGGCAAAGGAATATCCAAACAATCAGCAGATAAATCATTAGAAATGGAAGTGAGGAGCGCATCCTCGCCCTCAACATTGAAGACATCCTGCACTATAGGATCAATGATATCAATGGAACACAAAGAATGAGTGTCAACAGGGTATTTCATGGAATCATAGATGTTATACACAATTTCTTGTCCATCAAACTCCATAGTCAAAGAACCAGTAAAAACATCAATTTTAGTCCTAGCAGTTTTCAAGAAAGGTCTTCCTAACAAGATGGGTACTGCTTGTCTATCATGTTCCATATCAAGCACATAAAAATCAGCAGGAAAAATTAGTTCATCAACTTTCACAAGCACATCTTCCACTACTCCCTTAGGATAAACATTTGATCTATCAGCTAATTGAATCACTACCCCGGTGTCATGTAAGGGTCCAAGTTCCAAAGATTTGAACAGTGAATATGGAATAACATTAATTGATGCACCCAAATCCAACATTGCTCTACGAAAAGTGGTGTCCCCTATTGTAACTGGAACAGTAAACATACCAGGGTCACTGCATTTTTCAGGAAGTTTCTTTTGGAAAACTGCAGAAACATGAGCACTGACTTTCACTTTTTCCTTCCCTCCTAACCTGTGCTTCCTCTTAATAGTACAAAGTTCTTTCAAAAATTTAGCGAATCGAGGAACACTCTTTATTAAATTCAAAAGGGGAATGTTTACCTCACACTTGCTGAATGTTTCATAGATATCTTTGTCCTTCTCATACCTCTTCGTTTCTTTCAAAGCTTCAGGAAAAGGTGGTGTGGGTTCATAAGATGGAAAAGTGGGAGGATTTGCTACAGCTTCATGTTCCACTTCCTTCTCCTCAGCTCCAATCAACTCTTCAGCCCTCTTAGTTGCAATTTCAGTCTCTTTCAGCTCCTTGCCATTTCTCAATGTAATAGCGTTGGCTTGTTGCTTAGGATTCAACTCCGTTTGAGATGGAAGTTTTCCCGAATCCTTAGCTTCAAGTCTGCTCACTGCAGTTGAAATTTGACTCACTTGACTTTCCAAATTCTGAATACTGGATTTGGTCTCTTGCTGGAATTGCACCATGTTTTGCTGCATAGTAGAAACATTAGAAGTTAGTGATCTAATCATTTCATCAGTTGACATATCATTCGAATTTGAGCTTTGGCCTTGAGGTTTGGCCAATGGTGCCCTATATTGCTGATATTGCTGCTGGCCTTGAGCATTTTGCTGTTGTTGTTGGTTCCCCTGGGAATTCCCATATCTCAAATTTGGATGATCCCTCCATCCTGGATTGTATGTATTCGAATATGGATCATATCTTCTCTGAGGACCTTGCCCTTGGAAACCCATTGCATTGGCCTGCTCATTCTGTTCCTCTTGTAATTGAGGACATGCATCAGTGGGATGTCCTGTGGAGGTGCATAAACCACAAGCATTCAGTTGCTGTGGATTCCTTGAGTTCACCATGAACTCACGCATCATAGAAGTCAAATCAGCTACTTGACTCTCTAACTCAGTTGTATTTGAATTTGCTGCATTCACCCGGCGCGTGGGAGTTCTCTGACTGAACTGCCTAGAATTCTCTGCTAGCTCTGCAATCAGCCTAGTTGCATCTCCTGGAGTCTTATTCACTAGCCCTCCACCACTTGCTGCATTCACCATCCTCAAATCATCATCTGTTAGACCTCCATAGAAGTATAGGATGAGGTCTTGATCGGAATACCCATGGTACGGACAACTAGCACACAATCTCTTGAATCTCTCCCAATACTCATACAAGGACTCATCTTCCTTCTGATCCACATTGCTGATAGCTTTCTTAAGGCTTGCAGAAATAGTGGCTGGGTAATACTTCTCTAAGAAACACTTCTTCAAACCTGCCCAATTTGTTATGCTCCCTGGGGGAAGATAGTAAAACCAATCCTTCGCTGCATCTTTGAGAGAAAAAGGAAATGCTCTCAACTGAATTTGCTCATCAGTCATCCCAATCGGTTTCATGCTAGTACATACCACATGAAATTCTGCCAGATGTTTATTTGGATCTTCACCCTTCATGCCATGGAATGCCGGCAATAGATGAATTAGACCAGATTTGATCTCAACATTAGCACCTTCCTCCAACTGCTGATATGCGATGCACAACGGCTGTTGGTTCAAGTTAGGAGCTGTTAGCTCTCTCAGTGTTCGATTTTCTGCCATCACTTCCTCTTCTTGAATGTTGAAGATGTATGTTGATTCACTGGGGTTTGTTCTTGCCTCTCTTCGCAACCTGGAAATATTTCTTTCAATTTCTGGATCAAACTGCAAAACTTCTTTGTTAGCAGAACGGGTACTTATCATACCCTAGCGAACAAACAAAGAAAAAAAAAAAAAAATAGCTAAGAACAATCCTAAAATAAATTCTACTAAGATAAACAATTAAACGGTAACGCCTAAGTTCCCCGGCAACGGCGCCAAAATTTGGTGTGCCTCAGTCGTATGCAACCAAAAATATCACAACTAAGCTAACTGCAAATAAACGTAGTTAGGGAAGTCGAGTTCGAATCCATAGGGAAAAAAGGGACTAATAACTGGAAACCTAAGTGGAAATACTCTAGGACGGTAGTAACCTAAGTAACGAGGGGGGTTTTCACGAGCAATGATGATAAATGAACTAAGTAAGAACAACGAACGTAATGAATAGGTAATCAATGAGAAGAACGGTCTTGGTTATGCGAAATCCACTAATGAACATACAAATTGATCATAGAAGTCTCCTCAATCAAGCTCTATTGAACACCTTGTTGTAGAATTCCTAGATTCTAAATTCTCATAAATAGTTAGAAATAGCAAAGCGCTCCTTCCTAACCCTTTCCAATGCACAATTCAAGACAAGCGCTCTAAATTATCCACAAGAAGAAAATAAACGGAGAAATCAACAAGGATTGAATAAATTAACACAAGCGGTCTAATTTCTTCAATAATATTATTCCCTCTTCAAGTTATCAACCAAAAGCATGCATCAATAACCTAAAGTTGCTACTTTGGAAAGATTAATTAGATGCAAGCGAATCCAATAATTCTAACCTAGCAATTGATTAAAGCAAATCATGAAATTAATTCAAGGAACAATATATATTCAATAGATATTAAGAGAAGAAAGATCTCACAATTCGTAGCTAAAAGCTTCAATCTTTAACCAAGAATCCGGAAGATTAAGCTTCCATGGATTCTAATTCCAAAACAAAGAATTCTGAAATTCCAAGAAAAACCCTAGAAAGCTTTTTTTTCTCAAAACTTAATTCTCCTCTTCTTTCTTCAAACTTAATTAAAACTAAGCTATTTATATGTTTATATATTTTAATAACATAACACAATAATAATAATAAAATAATATCCAAAACACGAGCCAAAACAAAGCCAAATTGCTGAAAATTAACCAAAACAGCCCGAATTTCTGCCAGAGCCGCTGCCAGCTGCTCTAGACCCGCTGGCAGCTGCTCTGGCAGCCCCTCACTCTGGTATACCCGCTGCCAGCGGCTCTGGCCAGCTGCCAGCGGCCCTGGCAGCGGTTCCTGCTGTTTTCGCCTTCTTTCCTTGCTTCTTCTTCTTGCTTTGCTTCACCTTTTCCTCAAGCTTTCTTCCTTGCTCTTCCATGCTCCATCACAACTCTCAAATCACGAGCCAAGGTCCATCCTTCTTACATAACTCTTCATTGGTTCCCGAGCTCACTCACTCACTTATACTCATAAATCCCGCCTTTTGCACATAAGTGAGAACACAGCCCAAAACTCACAAAAGCTAACAAAAGTACATATAAAGCATCAAAACACACCCTAAAATGCTTCTCTCAACCCATGATAAGAAGGCTTATCAAACACTTTAATGTATGAAATACAAACTAAAAGCCGGGAGATGAAACAGGAGGAGAAAATCAAGGAGCTCATGGCTGCTGCTGAAACGACAAACAAGAAGGTGGCTGATTTCGAGCTGTAAGTGAACAACCTCCTAGTTGATGTTAAAGCATTGGGGGAGGCCAATAAGGAGAACACCTAGCTGCGGGCAGACGTCTTCCGGCTGAAGAATGAGCTGGTCCAGATGCAGGTTGATCACAAAGCTAAGCTGGAAGCTGAGCAGGACCGGCTGGTTGCTGAGAACGAGCGCGACCGCGAGGCCCGCATGAAAATGGCCTGTACCCTCATCCACCCGGACACCGAATGGGAGTTTTTCGACCTGAGGTACAAGTACGCCACTGAGGTGTATGACGCTAAAACCCTTGGGCTTGAGAAGCCGGCTCCCTTCGAGGAATGGGCTGGCATTGTCGAGGAAGAAGAGGAGGAGCAAGCGGAAGAACGAGCGCCGGGTGAGGCTAATGAAGCTCAACTCCAGCAAACTCAAAACGCTCATCCATCCGGCCAGGGCAAGACGTGTCTGCTTCACCAGCAGCAGTGACTTGATTGTTTTTCTTTCTATCTCCGGCATGCGAGCCGAGTATTTTATGTATTCTTCTTTTCCTCATACGTAGTTCCGGCTGATTAATGGAATTTGCCGACTGAGTCGGTTTTGCCCATATTTGCCTTTGATATATTTTGCTTCAATCTTGATTCAATTATTTGCACATTTAAATATGCTCGTACAAATCTTTATCTTTTTGCCAAGTGACTCAGCACATGCGATATGTCGGATGCCTTGGCTTTACTTGCCCCTGGATGGTTGCTTGGTTGATTAGCAGGCAGCCGTCCAATCAAGCATCCGAACGGATAGACAGACGGTTATTGACTATATTTAAAGAAGTTATTCTCTAAGTTGGATTAGCAGACGGTGCCGGCTAGGGCCAACCTAGATTATTCGTTTAACCGGTCGCGATTTACCCTTTGGGTAACCTGCTATCGCCGTTTGTGAGGATGCAGGCGACCATTGGCCGAGCATATGCATCATAACCAGGTTATGAATTAACTGCTAAGGTTTTAACCTTACTTAATTTGGATTTGTAACCGGCTGTAGTGCCGTTGGGCAAAGATAGGTTATATTTGACCAAGATATCAGTTACCGTCTGTGTTGCTTTGAAGCAACGACCAGTTGTATCTAGGTTTCAATTGATCATTCAAACGGTCGTGAGTTATCTTTAGCCTAGACAGTAGGTTAAATCCGCTTGAGTTATGATTTCATAGAACAATGTACCACCCTAATGGGAGATGTTCTCTTCGACAAATTCACCCAAATGGGCGTGGTCGGTTGCTTGCTCATGTTGGAGAAGGTGGTTTAAAGACTATCCGGCCATTGGCCTTATAAATAGATGTTAAGTTTGAGACTTAGCTTATATCTACTCAGTGTAGAGTAGACGATTGCCTGGTTGTGCATTGCACAGACGGGACTTTGTACAAGAAACAATGAAAATAAAGCATTCTTTCATTAATATACTCTATTTACAAAGATTTACAAGTCTTTAGAAGTAGTACTTTTTCAAGTTATCTACATTCCAAGTTCTGGCTAGCTGCCTGCCATTTGGAGTTTCCAGGCAGTAGGTGCCGCCTCTAACTTCTTCAAAAATCCGGTAGGGGCCTTCCCAATCAGGGGTTAACTTTCCTTGTTCATTGGCCCTACCGGTTGCCTCCATTTTTCGTATCACAAAGTTCCCCACCTTTAAGGGTCGTTTGTGCACTTTTCTGTTGTAGGCTCTTGTCATTCTCAGACGGTATATCTCATGACGCAAGGCAGCATTGCCCCTGCGCTCTGGGAGTGAATCCAATGCTAGACGCATGGCCTCCCAGTTAGCCTCTTCATCAGAGAGCATGGTTCAAAGTGTTGGATCATAATGTTTAATAGGCAGGACGGCTTTAGTGCCGTATGTAATGATGAACAAGGTTTCACTAGTTGCCCCTTTTTCAGTTGTTCTGATGGCCCATAGGACATGAGGCAACTCATTTGCCCATAGACCGTCAGCCCTTTCAATTTTCTTATTAATGCCTTCTAAGATGAGCTTGTTGAAGGCTTCAACTTGGCCGTTTGCTTGGGGACAACTAACTGATGCAAAACAATGCGAGATCCCTTGATCTCCCAACCAGCTCTAAAGGGTAGGCGTTTCAAACTAAGGGCCATTGTCAAAGACCATAAACATAGGTACCCCAAACTGGGTGATGATGTTTCTCCAGATGAAGGATATGACATCCTTTGTCTTAATTCCCTTAACCGCTTCTGCCTCAACCCATTTGGTGAAGTAATCTACAACAACCAGGACGTACCTCCGTTCGCTTGTAGCAGGCATATATGGACCCAGGATGTTCGTGCCCCATTTTGCAAATGGAACAAGGCTGTAGATAGCCGTCAAATCAGTGGCCGGACGGTGTATGAGTTTGCCAAATCTTTGACACTTATCACACTTCTTCACCATTTCCATGGCGTCTGCCTCAAGAGTGGGCCAAAAGTAGCCTTGCCGCCTGGCCCTTTTTGCTAGAGTTTTGCCGCCTATATGTGATGCACAAAAGCCCGAGTGCAGATCATCAAGTACTCCAATGGGATCATATTCAATGCTTATTTTTTTCAGGACATCCCAAAAGACTGACTTATGTGTATCACAAGAGGCGGATAATGCCAACTTAGATAGTGCATCCGCCTGATTATTTTCTGACTTGGGCACCTGACTGAGATGAAATTCGTCAAGTGTCCCGGCCTCGTCTTTGACCACCTGTAGATATTTGATCATAGCTGGATGGGTGGCCTCGTAGTCACCATGGTATTGGCTAACGATCAACTGAGAATCGGAGTAGGCGTCAACTTTCCTTGCCCCTGCCAGCTTACACATGCGGATATCGGCTAGCAGGGCCTCATACTCCGCCTTATTATTCGAGGCTTGAAACTTGAACCGTAGTGCGTATTCATATTTGTCCTCTTTCGGAGACTTACACTACGACCGTTCATAGTAGAGCTCCCGTCTACATATACCTTAAAGACCTGATCAACATTGTCCGGCTGAGCCAGCATCGTCATTTCTACAATGAAGTCGGCGAACGCCTGACCCTTCACTGCCTTCCTTGGTTCGATGGTTATTTTCAGAATTTGCATTTCAATAACCCATTTGAGCATTCTACTGGATGAATCCAAGGTTGTCATTGGCCGCTTTAGGGGTTGGTCTGTGTAGACCACCACCGGATGTGCCAAGAAGTAAGGTTTTAACTTCTTGATTGCCATGAAAAGGGAAAGGCCAAATTTTTCTACCAAGG